AGTGGAGCCCTCGGCAACGCTCTTTGTTAGTGTTTAGTATAAATTTTGGCTTTGTAGGTGAAATGGAAAGGCCAAGGGGAATCTCTGATTCTGCCCTAGTTGGTGTCCTTGTTATGGTAGTTTACTGACGTAGCTAAGGTCAGCAAGCCAAGGCTGTTATGGCGTTAGAAGCCTTTTGTGGAGATATTTTCATGGATTTCATAACTGACCAAAGTCTGCAATTCCATACCCTCTGTGTATAAACAGAAAAACCTACTGGATTGGTCTGTCGCAGGCAATACAAGGCTTGTAACACCCTTTACATACTGCTGCGGGGATAACACGTCCCATGCTCTATATTAGCAGTCTATGTATTACATTTCCCATGTTCTATATAAGCAGTCTCTGTATAACACATCCCATGCTCTTTATTAGCAGTCTCTGTATAACATATCCCATTTTAGCAGTCTCTGTATAACACATCCCACACTCTATATAAGAGCTCTCATTACAGCACATACCAATACCATGCTGTATAGACAGTTACAGTACTATTTCGTGACATTAGAAATGAGCACACACATTAGCTGCCCTTGAAGTGGGCTCAGGGACTCTAGTGACTGAGTAACTACAAATCCAAGGTTTAATTTGATGCAGTCTTTAGGGATAATTAACTGCGGTTAGTGGAATGGACTGAACATTGCTGACCAGTTCAAAAATGCCAATGTTTGCTGTACTCTGCCCACTGCTAATGTGAAATGAGACCAGTGATTACAATGGAGCTGTTTGTGCTGACTTAAAAAAAATAAAAATCTAATTTCTAAAAAGCAGAATTATTCTATTAATATTATTATTAACCAAAAAACACATTTTACAGTGGCTCTACCAGAATCAGGGTTTGGGGCTATCAAAGCACCACTTGTTATAAATGTACCACCGCTAGTACAGTGCTCCTCCAAGCTACTAATGGTGACAGTAAGATGGGGCTGTTCGGAAGATGGGTTGCACTGCACCCCTTCTCCATTGCTTAAATAGTGTGGCTATTCCATTGGAAAATCAGACAGATGAATTGTAATTTAGTTTTGTGTATCAATAAATCTGTGACCATATGGCACATTGGAGTTGAAGATATTTCCGTCCTATTCCTGGGTCACCTATATTGCTCAAGGGATAGTGCCAGGCCACCCTATTTATTGGCACAACACAGCAACCACCTGGAGTGGGGATTTAATAGGCTTCTTATCAGGTGAGCATAGTGTCTATATTTATATGCATGTTCTTTCTGTGTTCCGAGGATATTACACCAGATTGGCTTTTATTCTGCTCCATGTCCGGAAGAGCTGCTTTAAAGGGGCACGCCACCTGCTCTTGCAGACCTCAAAGGCACAGAGGCCTGAAAGATCAAAGCCATTACATCAGGCTCCATCATGTGTGAGTGGTTTTATCTATGGTTTCTGAAGCGAATTTGGGTGTCGATATAGTATCACACTATGGTATGTTTGTTTCTTTTTCATGTTATAAATGGAGATGTATACGCTAAAAATATAGGGGTAAGTTAATTACAGAGTGGAAGCGCTCCAATATCATGTTTTTGGGAGAGTTACATGTTTGTTTAGGTGTGGTGCACAGGAGGGTAACCCAAACAAGTGTTGATGCTGCTTTTTCATCAAATATAGGTTGGAAAAGTATAAGCACCAATTTTGCGCTTTTTTGTATTTTTAATCCTTACCTTAGCCCTAATTCTAACACCAACCATATGCCTGACCCCAGTTTTAGAAAATCATATAATATAAAGCACACATCCAATTAAGGGGAAAATAAAGCCATTTGGGGGTCCTAGAAACAGTCATAAATCACTAAACCATCAGGATTGCATTTTATAATGATGTCTCCACAATCACTTATAATACATGCTTAACCGTTGTGTATCATTTACATATAACAGAGATACACAATTAGAACATGTAAGAACACACAAGAGACTTACCAGCATTTACACAGCTGAGGCGGATTGCATGGTATAATGCCAGATTTAGCCTCCAATTAACAAGGGACACAAAATAATTACTGCCCTCAACTGCCTACAAAAGCACATCAGAGAGAAAACCAAGACATGAGTACGTATAAAGATAAAATGGATGAAAAAATTGGCTATTTCTAACCCAATAGAAACCACAGGAATGTTGTGGATTTTGATACCTCAAACAAAAACCACAGACCATAAAGATTCAATGGATTGTAAATTTAAGGGCTGGAGTCCTTGGATTGAAGCCATGGGTAGAGTGCTCTGCTCCTTGTATCAGTGTGTCTACCAAAGTTATTTACTAAAGTGAGTATTCAAATTTAAAGGGATTCTATAGTGTTAGGATAACAAAGTTGTATTCCTAAGACTATGGTGAGCTCTGTTTCCCCCTTCCATTGTGGTTCCCCCCACCCCATAGCAGAAAAACAGTTACTAAATACTTTATGAACTCTCCCAGCTCCGATCTCCCTCAGCAGTGGGTCGGTGCTTCTTTTCCTCCGACAGGGGGACCTATTCCGCATGGGTGGCAAGTGCCGCAAGTGCATCCCTCCCCATTGGAAACCATCGAATCAATGCTTGGGGATTTTACTGACAAAGGATGTCCTAATGCAGAGCATGAGGGTGTCTGATGTCACTTAGGCCACCCAGAGTCCGGTAAACTGCCGGAAATACCTCTAGTGGCTGTCTGGTAGACAGCTGTCTTAGCACTGCATTGCAAACATTGCAGTTTCTCAAAAACCACAGGACTAAGGGGCGCAGGGACATTGCATCTTCCAGAGCCGGGCGGGAGTATGTTTTCCTGGCACTATAGTGGTCCTTTAAAGGCCAGCATACCTGAATTGGAAGCATATCTGTCTTGGAGAATTTTCCAGTTCGGTTATTTTTCACCTTAAATTTAAAATTCACCTTGAATTCTCCCTTTAGTGAATACACCTGTATGTATCTCTCTGTCTGGAAACTCACCTAAATCATTTTGTAAAGTGCTCTGGATAAAAGTGATATATACTATATATAAAAATAAACACATTCACAGTGTTCCGTATTCAGTCCTTAACAGTTATGATGTTATGAAGAATGGACGGTTCATAAGAAAGATTTCGTTAGCAGCTTAGAATCTAGTTCTGTGAATATTACAGGTTTAGAGAATGGACTGTTGGGTTCCTTAGCAACAAATGGTTTAATAGAGGACTGGTTGCTAAAATGTAGATTCTATTACTTTTTAATTATTCCAGGTTCTGCCATCAGTCATTCTCTTTGACCATCAGTCATTGACCCACTACATTAGTGGGCACAAGGGAGAGACTATGAAACTTTGTTTTAGAAATGTGATTACTTTGGACATCATCCAACATGCCAAAAACAAACATCACAATTCAGTCTCACAGTCTATAGGATCCCTACAATAGCAGACCTCTTATTCTTAGCCAATAGTCACAGTAGTGTAATGATATTATTGGTGCTAAAAATGCTACATTTGTTACATAGAGGATAGTTTTGTTTATAGGGATAGGGTCTTCTTCTAGCATATAGTTGTGCGTAAATGTAAACTTCTTCCTCTTAAAGGGACACTATAGTCATTATAGTCTCCTCCTTTACTTGTGTTTCCGTTTATACAGCCCTAGCCACACATCACCTGGCTGTGACTGACACAGCCTGCATGAAACAAAACGGGTTACATGTTAAATCAGATGTTAACTTGCTTTAGAAGTTTTATCTCCTGCTCTGTAAGTTGAACTTTAATCATATACAGGAGGCTACTGGAGGGTCTAGGATGCTATTAACAGGAAATTTCAGGAAGTCTTTAGGAAGCCTGTGCAAGTCACAAGCAGAGAGGTGTGACTAGGGCTGTATACAAGAGCTTTAACTTCTAAATAGTAGATAATTGATCAGTGAGACAACAAGGGCATGATCTATACACCAAAACTGTTCATTAAGCTTAAGCTTTTGGTGACTATAGTGTCCCTTTAAAGATAAAGTTTGGATAAACGGTTGTGGAGGTGCTTTGGTGACAGGCCCTCTGGGTGAAAGCCATGCCTCTGAATTAGCAGGTGACTTGACACGTTATCTATAACAAATATTAAGGGTACAGAACGAACACGCTAGAAGATCATTCTGACGTAGGACACACCTGCTACGAGAATTGAGGAAAAAACACGTAGCGATAGCAATGCTCCAAGAAACGCATTTCAAGGAAGGATCGCCCCCAAGAATACGGAACAAGCATTATCCTAACAACTACTTCTGCAACCATCCGACGGCTCATAAATCTGGAGTTGCCATACTATTAGCCGCTGAGCTGGAGTTCAAAGAACTAGAACATTTACAAGACTCACAAGGAAGATACCTCTTTCTTAAAGGCACCATAGCAGACAGGATATACACAATAGCAACCATCTATGTGCCCAACAAAAGGCAGGCCCCATTCCTCCGAAATGTGTTACAACAACTGGAGGACTTCACGGATGGGATACTTTTGGTAGGAGGCGACTTCAACACCCCACTCGATCCTACACTGGACTCCTCTACAGGTCATAGCAGCATTTCACAACATAACATTAGATCCATCCGACAGTCGTTGGAGGCCCTGAGGCTAGTGGACTGTTGGAGAACGCTTCACCCCACAGTGAAGGACTTCACCTACTTTTCCGCCCTTCACGATCGATATTCCCGTATAGACTATATCCTTACTGCTCAGGAAGGACTTTCCCACCTGCGCGGAGCTAAGATCGAGACTGGCACCTGATCAGACCATGGATCGGTCGAGATAGAACTGGACTCACCCCTGTACAGACCAAAGGCGTGGACCTGGAGACTTAACGAAGCTCTACTGCTAGATCCAGATACCAAGGAACAAATTCAAAAAGCACTGGAACAATACTTTAGGGAAAATGACTCTCCAGAGACCTCCGCAATATCCATATGGGAAGCCCACAAGAGTGTGATACGCGGTGAACTTATACGCATCGCCTCTCGGAAACGGAAGGCATTTATGCATGAAATGGTGGATTTGTACCACTCTATATCGACCCTGGAACGCCAACACAAACGATCCCAGCTAAATGCAGTTTACGGAGAATTGATGGAACACAGACGAAAACTCAAAGACCTAATCTTGAAAAGGCATCTTCGAGCCGTACAACGCACAAAGAGCTTTTACTACGTACACGCCAATAAAGGAGGTAAATACCTGGCGAAACTGCTGAAAGGTCCTTTGCCCCATAGACAAATACGCAGGATTCGCCTGGCTTCTGGGGAGATCTCCCCCTTTCCTGAGAAAATCGCTGGGGAATTTCGGGCCTTTTACGAGCATCTCTACAATTTGTATGCGCCTAAAGAGGCCACCGAAGCCGCGAGAGAAACTGAGAAAATACAGGACTACCTATCCAACACAATCACAAACACAATCAATCAAGACTCGGCAACACAACTGGACACACCAATCACAGTGGAAGAATTAGCCACAGCCCTTAAGTCATCTAAAACTGGCAAGGCTCCTGGTCCGGACGGCTTCTCCACGGGATACTATAAAACCTTCTCGGGAATACTGTTGCCCTGGCTCACCAAGGCACTCAACGTGGTTGGTGAGGGGGGAGAACTGGGTGGGGAGTCCCTATCAGCCATCATTACAGTCCTACTTAAACCAGGGAAAGATCCACTTCATTGCAGCAGCTATCGACCGATTTCGCTACTAAATGTGGACGCTAAATTGTTCACGAAAACACTAGCGACCAGAATAAAACATCTCCTCCCCGATTTGATACACGAGGACCAGACGGGATTCATCCCAGGTCGAGAAGCTAGGGACAGCACCCTACGACTTTTCTCTATCCAACACCACGCGAGGAAACTGGGGACCCAGTTGCTATTGTTATCAACAGATGCAGAAAAAGCATTTGACCGGGTCAATTGGACATATATGCTGGCAACACTGAAACAACTAGGCTGTGGTCAGAGACTCCTCACGTGGATATCTGCCATTTATAGCAAACCGCGCGCATCGGTGCAGATCAATGGGGCTACGACAGCGGACTTCGCGATCAACAATGGGACCCGGCAGGGATGCCCACTGTCACCGTTGCTGTTTGCAATGACCCTGGAGCCACTATTACAGGCAATCCGCCAGAATCCGGACATACAAGGATATAACTGGCAGGGAGTACAGCACAAAGTTGCCGCATACGCGGATGACCTCCTCTTCTTTGTCCATAACCCTAGGATCACTATGCCGTGCCTTCTCTCTGAGTTTAATAGATTTGGCCAGATATCGGGATTTAAACTTAACATCTCGAAATGCGAGGTCCTGAATTTAACAATCCCCACAGATGAATACCGCTCTTTAGAACCGGAATTTGGGTTCCACTGGTGCCACGACAAGATGAAATACCTGGGCATCTGGGTAACCACGAACCCGGGGAATATATATCACTATAACTTTACACCCTTATTAAAGAGGATACTCGCAGACCTGTCCAAGTGGTCTCACCCTAACATAACATGGCACGGGAGGATAGCGGTGATTAAAATGAATATCCTCCCGAGAATCCTATACCTCATGCAAACCATACCCCTCGTACTACCTCCAACCTTTTTCTCCACCCTGAAAACGGCGGTGATCAAATTCGTCTGGCGAGGAGGAAGATCCAGGATTAGACACGACATTATCTGCCGACCTAGAATCTGCGGAGGACTAGCGCTTCCAGATTTTAGGAAATATCATCAGGCCACGATCATGCATCGCGTACTAGATTGGCACGCAACACAGGAAATTAAACAATGGGTGGTACTCGACAGGGGCCTCATTGGACCAACGTTGGAGACGAAAATCTGGGGGGATCTTGAAAGATCGCCCTCCCGCTCGGCGGAGGAGGGATTGATCCTACAGACAATATGTGGATGGAAAACACTGAGGACTCAAGACCACGTGTCCCCTATGCCCAGCCCAATGATACCGATCACGTATAACACAGCTGTTGGGGGGGGACTCCCTCCTGCAGCATTTCCCTTCCAGGATACTGGGGCATACATACCCATACATAAGGCACTCGAAGGCGGGAGGATGCGAGACCTCCCCTCGATGCTAGGCGATAGACCACGGACGCCTATCCTCCAATTTAGATATCTACAACTGAAACACTTTTACGATTCCTTCCCGCACAAAGATCGCTTGCATAGAGACCTCACGTGGTTTGAGGGCCTCTGCGACCGAGGCACCAACATAGAACATGCCATCTCAGCGTTATACCAACATCTTCTAATCGGAGGCACCCCTACGGCTACTACGTTCAAAAGGCAGTGGGAAGAACAACTAGGAATAACATTTACAACACAGCAATGGGATACGGCGTTGCTCTGGCAGCATAAGAGCTCTATGAGCTCATACTACCAGGAGATGAATTATAAGTTGATATCTTTCTGGTATAGAACACCAGTTCTTCTGCACCGCATATTCCCTTCAATTCCTCCGATGTGTTGGAGATGCCAGGAAACACGCGGCACAGTACTGCACATATGGTGGGAATGCAGGGTTATCATCCCATTCTGGCAAATGATTAGAGAAGAAGTGACGATCATCCTGGGAGACTTACCGGAATGGAATACGGAATTGGCATTGCTACACATCTCGACACAACCCATAAGATCATATAAGAAATCGATACTACGACACCTGCTTAATGCTGCCAAGGCCACTATTCCAGTCCATTGGAAAAAAAGTGAAATCCCGACCAAAAAAGAGTGGATCCGTAGAGTGGAAGAGATCCAAGGAGCAGAAGAAGCACATGCTATTGTAACGGGAAGAGGGACCAAGCACACGGAGATGTGGACGCCATGGTTCCTATACATATCTCGCTATCGAGGAGACGGAGCCGCACAGGGGCCCGCACCGGGGGCGCAGGCTGGGTCAGACAGTGCCAGGGGGACCACACCCTAAGAGGCCCGACCGCCACTGCTCCTCACCTCTTCCTTACCCCTTATCCTTGAGCACCGGGACCGAGTGGAGGGGGGGTCGGGGCCGAGTAGACTGACTGTGGGATGGATAGCCAATACAACATTTCACAAGGATTCCAGGGAGGCACAACGTACACTAATAGAGGGATACTAATAAATGCACAGAGATACGAATAGGCCTGGGAGACACGGGTCACAATGTGGCTCAGATACCTGACGAGTAGCCAGGATTATGACACACTTGTGAATAAATAACACTAGATAGCCGCCAACCATATCTTCCTCATACACTAGGGTAACACTCAGGCTAAATAACACCACGATAAGTACCACACTGGGGCCAGACACGAGCATCTGGCTACCACAATTGGGTGAAGGGACTCTCGAACGCTACACGAGCTCAGCCATAGGTAACAATCAGGGGAATACTGGTGCTCCGAATAGTGAATACCTGTTATAAATGACACAAAGCTCCCACCTGTAATTGTTACACATGAAATTGTACTGTCATACAAGAAATGGATATGCTTGTCCCTCACTATGGGGTAAGAGTACCTAGATATACACCTTGGATAGTTATTACGGACCTGCGTGTCCACTCATTTCGTAAAACAAGCTGACTCATAGGCATGCAAGCTTGGTAGGGGGTGGATCTATTTAATAATTTATTTTATTTATGTTTTATTTCTTTTCTCCTTTTCTCATGGATCACCAGTTTTTCCTACCTCTGTTACACTTACAATGTATGCGTACCTAGACCTGCGAGTCTTTATACTGTTCTAACTGCTGACTCTCCAATTTACTAAATAAACATATTTTCAAAAAAAAAATAGAAGATCATTCTGAAGCCGTGGCCAAATAGTGGAGCTGCCAGTGGCATAATCGTAAGGTTTTACATAAAACTATGTTGTGCAAGGCTTGGATTTCCATGTCAACAAGCTGTATCTGAGCACCAAATGTTATAAAATTAAATTTATAAAGCTGCACTCAATGTCCATCTTTCACCAACGTTCTAACCAAGTTAGTTTGTTTTTTTTTGCCTAGGGAGCCTTAGGAGCTCAATCAATATATAAGGCTGATTTACTATTTTATCATCAGGACCCAACAGCAAAGCAGAAAACAAGCATTTTCTCTCCTAATATGAGGGGTGAGATGCTGATTTTTATTTTAGCCACAGCTTCTTCCATTCTTAAGGACAGGAGGGGTACTAATGACTAGTGATAAACCATTGTCTTGGAGACCACAGACACACACACGTGAACATGTGTGTTGTGTGGATGTGTGTCCAATGCTGTGCAAGGTACAGGCTGAACATGTGGTGAATAGTGTTTGTACGGGGTGTGTATATGCCGATATGTGTGGGTTTGTGAAAAGCTCTCTTGAAACTTCCAGTTGGGTCGAGAACCCGATCCTTTATGAAGCCACACCGCCCAGATACACTGTAACAGTGAGATATTCCACCTTATTGAAATATTTTTCTCAAGGAACTATGTGGCTTTATTTTACGATCATAACATAAGCCTGGACTCCTCATCTTTATACGAAGCTGCACCTGCAGTATGTCCATAACACACGCAAGACAGGGTTGCAGCCGCATTGTAAACACAGCTAACGAAGAGAATGCATGAATGCACCAATTCTATGTGCACACCAGTGGCATGGATACAGATAAAATATATTAAAACAATCCTAAAATACAGAGAAAAAAATATACGGTGATTTCTACCATATAAATATCTGGTATGTTTCAATGGGTCAAAAGTGTATTGTGGAGCCATCACAAATAGGACCAATGAGTGTTTTAGGAAAAAAACATATAAACAGTTTGTCCTTCCACATTTTTTCTTAGGATGTGTTTTGATGTCCAGGGCTTGACACTGCATAGCACAAGTGTGGGACTGGATCCATTCTTGGCTCCATGACAAGATTCCTAATATCACACTCCTTCTTTTGTCTTCCTGCACGTGAAGGGGTGTAGAGAATTTGCTGGGATTGTCAGAACAATATCAAAAATAAGAAACTACACTGCATTTTTTTACTTTCTGGTACACACCTACATATACCCACATCCTGAATAAAAACTCATCTATAATAGTTATTACTTTCCGAGTAGTGGCAAAAATATTTGAAACAATATGTAGGCATGGGGAAATACCATTTGGAAAACAAGAGCAAATGTACAAACGTTTACATGACTGTATAGTGTACATGTTGCCTGTTTTGAGTCAGGCAGTGTTTTTGACTAAAAGGGGATTATTCACTATACAGTAAGTTGTATTTCAAGGACCACTAGATTTCCTGGAAAACAAACTCGTTTTCCTGGCATTATAGGGTCTTTAGGTTCCCCCACCCTCAGGGCCCCCTCCCGCTGGGCT